TGGGTGTGTGCGAGCCCTGAGCTGCACAAAGCCTAGAGGATGTCCCTTTGGGGGCTGGCACGCAGCAGGGTGCAGAGGCAGTGCCCTCCTTCCCACTTTCCCCAGGCCAGCCCTGGGCCAGAGCTGTCACTCAGCACAAAGGAGCCTCAGGTCAACGTTTGTGCCTCCAGGACCCACCTGGAGTGAAGCTAGGATTCCTTCTGGGCAGGGTCCCTGCCCTTCTGGGCAACTGGCCCCTCACCCCATCCTGTTAGTGTCTCCCAACCCTCTGGGGGCTGTAGGGTTACCCAGGGCGGGCAGACATTTCCTTTCCTGAAAGGTGCCAGCCCCTTGACGGTCTATTCTGCCAGGCTCCCAGCTCCTCCAGCCACTTGTGGCCAATGAGGAGGGCGGCTGATGTGAACTTCCCTGGGCAAGGGGAGGGGCCGCCTGGAGTAGNGCAGGGTGCAGAGGCAGTGCCCTCCTTCCCACTTTCCCCAGGCCAGCCCTGGGCCAGAGCTGTCACTCAGCACAAAGGAGCCTCAGGTCAACGTTTGTGCCTCCAGGACCCACCTGGAGTGAAGCTAGGATTCCTTCTGGGCAGGGTCCCTGCCCTTCTGGGCAACTGGCCCCTCACCCCATCCTGTTAGTGTCTCCCAACCCTCTGGGGGCTGTAGGGTTACCCAGGGCGGGCAGACATTTCCTTTCCTGAAAGGTGCCAGCCCCTTGACGGTCTATTCTGCCAGGCTCCCAGCTCCTCCAGCCACTTGTGGCCAATGAGGAGGGCGGCTGATGTGAACTTCCCTGGGCAATGGGAGGGGCCGCCTGGAGTAACAGGGTGGGTGCAGACATTCAGCCACAGAGGCTCAGTGCTGGCTGGGTCCCCTGTCCAGGCCCATCAGAGTAGAATGGTGGAAAGAAGTCAAGGTGTCTCTCGGGGCCTCCCTTCTCAGCCCTTCCAAGGTGCTGCCCTACCCCAGGAGCCCCTGGGACCCCATGGGCCCTCCCAGAGGTTCTGTCTGCTCCACTTGTGGGCAGCCCCTCCTGCCAGGAAGGTTCCCCAAGGCTGTGCAGCTAGGAACTGCAGCTCCAGGGCAAGGGAACTGGAGAGCCAAGGTGGGCTCTACCACCTGAGATCACCCTGGGGTCTGAGCAGGGATAGGAGCCCAAGTGGGGCAGGTGAAGGATGCTGCAGGCCCTGCACATTTGGGGAGGGGTCTGAGAGGGTATAGCCCTTGGAAGGAGCTGGGAGGTGGATGCCAAGGTAGGGGATCAGGTCCCAGGCCACCCACCTGCACCAGGCCCTGCTCTGGGAAAGCCGGACACCAAGGGTGTCCAGGCCAGGCACTCTCCTCTCTACCCTGAGGTCTCTGTCCAATGCCACTATCCACCCTCCAGGACAGGTCGGCTGAGGGGAGCAGGGCTTAGACCACCTCCTCCGTACCCAACTCCTGTTCACAAGTTGAATCCCCAAACTCTGCAGCTCACATCAACCCCAGGCCCCTATTCTGCTTCCCAGGGCTGCCACTTGACACCTGTACTGCTGGCCACCCTCTTNTTCCGCCTCCCAGGGCTGCCACTTGACACCTGTACTGCAGGCCACCCTCTCCTGTCCTCTGTGATGCTACCTAGAATGGCCAGGCCCACTTGCCTGCCCTCGGCCCCACATGCCACCTTTGCAGGCCTATGGGTATTTGCCCTGGCAAGGTGCCTGCGTGCACTGGGCGAAGTGTTCTGCGAGCCCACTCTCCTGCCCACTGCCAGCTCATGCACCCTACAAGACTGCCTGGGCCTCCCAGAGGCCTGTATACCCCAAGGGCTGCCAAGAGCCCCACTCTCAGGACAGGAGACTGGGGCTGGGCCGGCCAGGGCGCTCTGGCCCCTGGGGCTGTGGTCTTAGCTCTCCCTGCCAGACCCTGGGGGCGTACAACCTTCCCACTTGGGATTTGCCATCTACTTAAAAAGATGCTTAAATGTTCATCTCCAGTTCTCCACCTCCTTGGGCACCTCGGTACCAGCCTGCCCCACCCCAGCTGGTACACCTGTGCAGGTCTACTCTCTAACACCATGCCTGCCTAGAGCATGCACCTCTCCTCAAAAGGGGGCTGACTAGGGCCGGCTTTCCCAGCAGCCAGACCGCAGTGGCCAGGAGGCTGGGGCCTGTCTGCCAAGCTCCCGCCGACTGACTGCTGGCTCACCGGGTAATGAAGTGGTTATCGACTCCCTGGTGGCCAGCTTTACTGCTCTGCTACCAAATCGTGGTGGGCTCTCCCCATCTTCCCCCAACATGCAGGCTTCACAGGGGCCGACGACCATGGCCTGAGGCTGCTGATCAGGCCTCTCCTCTCCTGCCCCATGGCCCCACTGGAAAAGGATTCCCCCACCCCATCCTGCCAGCCTCCAAAAGCCAGCTCTGACCAGGAGTTGCCCTGCCCACACCTGGCCATGGCTACCCAGTGGGGTCTAAACCCACCATGGGCCTCATGGGCCCTGCAGAAAGATCGTGGCCCCACATCCCAAACCTGTGCCAGGCTCACCCAGCCCAGCTTAGCACGGGTCTCAGCTTGTAACGATGCCAGGCGGGGCTCAGGACTCTCCCAGCATCTCCAATGAGCTGTCCCCCAGGCCAGGGTCCTGCCTGGTGTGTCCCCACTGGGCTCTGGCACCGGCCCACACCCTAGGCTTCCATGTCAAGCTGTGGAGTGACTAGGATGTTTTGGACCTCATGCTCAGCTGTGCCAGGTCTCC